TATTAGAAAAATTTTCCTAATTATAGGTTAAATCTATTTCACAAACTATGTTTTTACCGATTGCGATTTTTTAAAACGTTATTCGAACCTACTAACGAGAATAGTAGAAAGTCGTAACGAATGAACTATCATCCATAAGGCGATACTGTTAGAGTGTCAATGTCAATCAACTTCATCTAAATCATTTTTGACGTTTTTTTCTAATTCTCTAATGCGATAAATAAGATGTGACAATTTGAGATTACTGAGAATCATGTTTGATTTAATTATTTTGATTAAACAATCTATAAAAAACTTGCGATTTGTAATGAATTTTTAACCAAACAACCCACTATCCTCAATTGGATAAAGTTTTATGAAAATTATACGTTATGTATAAATAATAAAAGTTGGCAAATTGGACTTGTAACAATTCAAGCAATTTATTCAAGAATTTTCACTAATAGTTTGTATACTGTTAAAAATCTTATCTTGGAATTCCTTTCCTTTTAATTAATTTTGGCATTTAGAGTCCTATTTGACTCTCATGATTCATTGAAAGTTTTTTGTATGTAGGTTGTCAAAATGCAAATCGTGATTCGTGTGTGAATTTCGATATCTTGTGACACTTTCCCTATAAAGAAATATCACAAGTCATCAGAAATAAAGTTTAAGACCTTTTGTACCTACAATGTTTTGTACCTATAGAAAGTTTAAATGTGATCTGGATAATGCAATTTAGTCAAATATTTATTTCAATTCTACGTATTAGCTGATATATATAATATTTATTTACAAACTTTCAAAGACAGCAAAAGTGAATTTAAAATGTGATATTATTATTATTTTTTTATCAAAAGTTCTACTTTCTCTTATTAATTTACGATCTACATATAAATTGTATCAAACACTTCCTCTCAAATAATAAAAATTTAAATAATTCCATCGTATATCAGTTTTCGTTCTTAATATAAATCAGTCCCATAGTACCAATTCTGTAACTTTTATATTTGAATCTGTTAAATTCAGGGCATGTGAATGAAAACACCGGCAGTTGAAAGTAATTAATGATAACCATTTTTTCTGGGTTATGATATTGTAGAACTTTTCAAATTGAGTTTACTAATCATTATAGAGATAATCTTTTGAATTGTTCGTATAACAAAACACACGATGGGCAATGGAAACAATCTTAATAGTTTCGGTAAAAAAAGGACTTAATGATTTGCTTTAATGAAAGCAGTTGGATAAAATATTTGAATTTGTGATTGCTCAGTAAAAAAATTAAAAAAAAATTGTTCGACATTTCTTTCGAAAAAATCCTTAACATTCGGTAAAAATTTTCAATAAGCGTTTGTCTATGATCAAAGCAATTATTTATTATTAATCATATGTAACAAAACATATTAACATATTAACATATTAAAGTAAAATTTACATATAATAACACATGCCATTTATTAATTTGTTATTAGTTTTCAACCGTATTTCAATATTTCTCTTGTAATCAATCCAAAAATTTTATCCAAGCAAAATTCTAAAAAAATGAAAAAATTAACATAAATCTATTGCCAATTACTCAAAGCATTTAAAAAGAAGTTATTCAATGTTTTTTAAGGTGTGTGATTATTATTGAAGGAATTTCTACAATTAAGGTCTAGTACAAGCAACAGTACTTTGCAAGAAGCTGTTACAGGTGCCAAGTGAATCCATTTTAAAGTATTCGATTCATAGCCTCTTTAACAATTTTGTAACCATTAATTTAACGATTTATAATCGTCACATTTCACTTTATAATATATAGTTATACGATAGAAATCGATGATTAAATTTTTATTTGTGAATTATGAATATTTATTGCTGTATTTGATAACTTTGACAAAAAATACTCTCTAAAAATTTATGCAAGTTGAAGATATTTATGCCATTTGTCGTATTACAAATGATAAAAAAATAATCTAGTTAGTATTGGTATTTTACATGAACTTCTCAAAATCTGTAAATAATCGATTTAATCACTAAAATATAAATTAATTTATGAGTGATTAAGAGTATTCCGAGTGAATTTATTACATATAATTAAAAAAACGAACGAACACGTGAACTCGGGGTACTTTCTAAAAGCAAATTTTCAAAAATCAATCATTTTTATAGTTGAACTAGTTTTCATTGGACTTTAATGGTTTAGTATGTTCATTAAGACCAAGTACTATATCGTTATACCAAGTAAATGGTCTAATTTTAACTTTAACAAACGTCAAAAAAACTACTCATTTTCTCAAACTTTGATAAATTTTAAAAATTAAACTTCTTGTCGCAATGCCGTAATATTTCAGTAAGTTCTATAAGACCATGATATATATCGCCAAAAAAAAATTCCATAAAAATCGTCTTAATTTTTTTTTCAAACAGTTAATTACAACAAAACGGCTCGGTAGATTTTCATATAAAACTAATCAGTATCATACCCAACAAATATCTTTCGAACAGTTTTCGATTTTTTAAAATCGATTCGGTAGTATGAGCTTAAATGTGAACAAAAAGTTTAACACTTTTTTTTCAAATTACAAAGAAACTGCTTGGTCGATCGCTGCACAAAACTAAGAAATAATAATCTACATCAAAATACATCGATTGGCTTTTAAATTATTGAAATCGGTTTAGGCGTTTCTGATCAAACGTCGATAAAAGTTCTAATTTTGATAAACGCCAAAAAAATGATACTAATTTTTGCAAACTATGACGAATTTTTAACATTAAACGACTTGTCGTAGAACCGTAATATTTTAGTATGATCTACAAGACTATGGTATCTACCGTCAAAAAAATCTTTATTACAAAAAAGCGGCTTGGCCGATCTCTACCAAAAACTTTCCATTAACTCCAAACCTTAGTAATATTTACTAACTTCTTTATTTACATGCATCATATGCTTAGAATGTATAACAACGAAAGTCATAATTCTGCACAAAATTGTTTAATTTCCCAAAAACTTTAATTCTTAGTATTATTAAGTAAGATATTTATTTACATGCATCATATGTTTAGAATGTATAACAAAGAAAGTCTTAATTCTGCAAAAAATCATTAAACTTCCCATAAATTAACCAAAAATTCTCCGTACTATTAAGTAACATCCTTACATACATCCGTCATATGCTCGCGTCCACTAATTTCTTTCCAAAGTTCGGTAACGTTTCGCGTATTGCAAAAATTGCGCAAGACAATTGACGTCAAAAGATTTTTATGACTAACAAACAAAATTGTTGGAAAGCTCCATAAGAAATAAGTCGTTGTCTCAGTCATTTTGCTTGAAAAACGGATGTAGAATTTATAAGAACGGACGCAGAATGCGGATGTCTGTATCGTGTTCCTACGCCACAGGTTAAGAAAATTCTCTAAGATGATAGATGAGATGGTCATTTTTAGATATTTTATGGTTTGCCAAGTTGAGGTTTATTAATTAATCTATTATGGTAGTCATGTTCTGCGTAAAGTCTTTATATGGTGTAGAGAAATTTGTTATTAGCATAAGGATTTATGCTGATATGTTCACACAAACGAGGAGTTGGCACCAGAGTGAACGACCATCCTAGAAATTTAGACTAATTAATGTTGCCAAACTAAAATTATCATAATATTTATATAATCTGTCGTTAAACGGCAGCAAAAAATATGCTCTGGCTCTAAAGTTGTCTAACATTTTATGAAAACCCAGAGTGGAGGATTATGAATCTTCTATTTTCTTTTTATAATGAAAAAATTAAGTAAAATAATGTAAAACTGTGGATCCACTGTGGTTATCAACTTCTCATGTACATATTTATGGAAGAAATCTTAAAAGACCATTTAATTATTTATATATTTAAAAATCTAATCAATACTTGATCTGCAACTCTCATATTGTTATCGATTGAATCTTTCTTTTTTGAATTTACGAAAAAAAGTTTATGATTTCGCCAGTAAATCCAATTTTCAAATTGTATGTTTCAAATATTTCGAATCCAAAATTGAAAAAAAAGTGTGTGTGGTAGTGTATAAATGAATGATTTGAAACATTTCTTTTGCAATAATTTTATATAAACACACGAGTGATTATATTTATTTAATCTCATTATTTCTGCTAAAAAATGTTTCATATCATTATTTTCATTTTTAGTATTCAACAATTACAATTATATAACTTCAATTTTAAAATCAATTTGTAGTTTTCATCTGGTCATTATGGTTGCTACTAAATTGAAAAATAATATGGCAATATTTTCTGCTACTATTGTACTTTAAAACAATGAATAAAATGGACGCTAATTATTAGAGAAAACATTTATACAATAATAAATAATTAGGCATTCGTACTAGAGTTTCTAGATCACTATCATTTTAGATATTAGACTATATTGATAATTACTGGACATTTCTTATATATATATATATATATATATATATATATATATATAATAAAGGAAAAAAAATATTATTAAAATTTCAATGATAAAGTGTAAGTCAACACTATTCCTATTAGATTCTAAAAGCATTCTAATTAGATTCTGGTTACTTTCTTGTCAGATTCTAGCTAAGTTCTCTGTTAGGTTAATTTATAATAAAGAGATAATTTCCATCTATATTATCCCAGTACTTTCTAGTGCTTGATGAAAAGACATTTCCACGTAAACAATTTTTTCATAAAATCTTATGCCAATAAAAAAGAAAGTCACTATTGTTTATATAAAAAAAACTAAATTTTCAGGAGAATGTTATTTCATGGTCTGGTTGTATTCTGCTACTACTATACGAATGTGATATTTGTGTTTTGTGTGAAAGTTTGATACATATTTAATAGGTATGCGATATTCGAAAGGAAATGCACTTCATGCAGAGCCGGATTAACCTATAATTACACGCCTAGGGCTCCGAGGAAATGGGGCCACGATGGAAATATGAGAAACGAAGTAGATGTACTCTTGCAGAATTTAATATTAAAGGAAAAAATATTTTTTATGATATATGAAAAGTAGACTTACCTGATATTACTAAGGTGGTAGATCATTTTTAGACAAGGAGGAGCAATAAGGTTGCATGCCCATTTCTACTTGATGTAATATTTCCGAGTAATAAAATCCATTCTGGCATTTCTGCAATAAAAAAATTACGTTAAATATAATAATTACATACGTTAAAATATATTATAAAGAACAATTATATGCTTCAAGAACTTGATTTTTCATAAAAATAAAAAAGAAGATTCTATTCCTTAAGACAGAGTGTATCAATCAGTTGAGTAAGTTTTGAAAATGAGATAAGTTAATTAATAAATAATACAAAAAGCTTAATAATAATTGTTTACTGTGATTATCAAATGGATATTAAAGACATTGAAAAAATTTTTAAGAAAATGCGGATATAAAACTAGTATAGAAGTTTCAATCAAACTTTTAATAAATAGTACTAAAAAAGTTTTAAAGTAAGAAGTTCCTTTATTTTAATTTCTGGGAAAGTGGATGCTCAATTTGATATAGAATCTATAAATAATTTCAAAATCAAATATTTGTTAATAAAGTAATAATAGTAAACTGTCACCATATATGAACCATCAATCATTATTATATTTACAACATATAAATAATTTTGATTAATCAATTGTCATTACTTTCTCAAAGTCATCTTTCTAATGAAGTTATTATAGTCATTGGCTGTTCTTTTGTTAAAATAGTGTATAACACACACAAACAAATATATATATATATATATATATATATATATACACATATATATATATATATATATATATATATATATAAATTCTCATTAGAAGTAAATAAACAAAACAATCAAATTAGAATAAAGGGCATTATCTCATATTTTTAGGAATTATATGAACTAAATTGCAAAGTTAAAATAATTTATTTCAGTGTAAAACTCTAAAACGTGAAGATATGCAAAGATTTCAAATTAGATCTTTGGACGATTACAATGACTTACCCTACGGGAAGTTAATAAGCAAATGTAAATAAATAAATATTATATATTGCTAAAGTCTTCAGACGATTCTACATTATGATGCACTAGAACTTCTATGAATCTAAATTATTTCACTAGTGATTCGAAGAGAAAGATTTTCTTCATTAATTCGGCCCTGAGTCCATTCCCTACAGGTGATCCCTGATTTATAGATTCTGGAAATATTATAGCCTAACTAGTACAAATCGGAAGTGACCTGATATTTTACAGAATGAGAGCCGAAAACCGGATCAAAAAAATAACCTATATGAATATATTACTATAAAACTAGGTATCGTCTTATATTAGCTTCATATACACGCGTCTTGTATATGAAAATAAAACGCATTTGAATAAAACCTACGCGGAGAAATAACTTTCTCTTATGAAATAATAAAACGCGACAAGGATGCGAATAATGATAAATAGAAACTAAAATGAATCATATGACAATAATAGAATGACTCACATGAATATGAATATCAAAATTCAAAATTATTCATCTATTGTCAACTCGATTTGCACAAGTAATATTACAGATACTATAAAACATTTTATAGATCAAATTCCACCAAAACTGGGCATCGTGCCTTAAGGCAAAATGTTTTTTTGAATCATTCAAATCGGTTGATCCGTGAGCCCGAAAACGAGGACAAAATTGTATCCATATTCCATACATACACACACACATTTTTTCTAAGGTATACCAATATGTTCAGAAACCTTCAAAGCGTGAAGACAAGCAAAAAAATTCAGTTTAGTTTTGAACGATTGCAATAACTTAACCAACGGGAAATTAAAAAGGAATTATTGATGATATTAATAAGTTAATATGATATTAATAAGTTTTTTTAATTAATTTATATTAATTTTCCGTGGGGTAAGTTATAGTAATGGTCCAAAAATTTTGACTTCTGGTTCGTTTTTTCCCTGTGGGAACTACTCAGCAGACAAGGTCAACTATGAGATGACCTTGTCCTATCATAGAAATACCGGTTTGGTAGAAATACATTCAAATATTAAATCAGAACTAAAATCATGAAATATAATTTTGAATTGTCTCGATAATAAATTACTTTCTAAAACGCAGATTGTAAAAACTTGTAAGCCGCTATACAATACTCTCAATTTATTTCAAATACTTATATTCATAACCTACTACCTATTAACAATTTTATTTAAATTTATTAGTAGTTTCTAATGGAAACGTTAGTTGTTCGTAATGGAAAAAACGTGAATTTACATTTTTTGGTGTATCGGCCAAAAATAAATTGAATAATTGAGTGAATTAGAGGTATGATTATTAAATCGTTCTCGGATGAATCAATATGCACACTGGTAAAATTTAACGATATATATAATTTACCCTACGAAAAATTAATAATAAAAGTTTAAATAATTGATATAATATATTTAATATTTATGCATAAGAAGCAATGAAGCATGAAAAAAAACATCATATACCTTAGAAGACCATACTCTGCGCGTTTCCCGGGAAAATCCCGAAATTCCACCTTGCGTCCCGAATTTTTCTTGATTAAAGTTTGTAAATATTATATTTATTTTAATTAGTTAACCGTCATTAATTCTCAAAGAAGTGACAAAATTCGGTATATTCAAGAATATTATGAAAATAAAATATAAATCCGTTGGCTATTTTGCCAATTGCAAGTTTTGAGAAAAAAATAACATATCCTCAAATTTAAGTAGAATATTTGAATATTAAGAATATTTTGAATATTTTCCGAAATTAAATAATAATTTAAATCTCAAATGATTTTTTGTATCCCGGTATGCAGGGTTGACAACTGTATCAATTCGCTACAGAATTTATTGATTTTTACATGTTTTTTGCAAAATATAGAACAAGAACTCAATTTTCGATATGCTATTGTTGCCTAATCATAAACAACAAGATT